CGTTGGGGTGGTCATAGTCTCTTAACAATGGTTGAGGAGGATTCTCTCCCATGTTATCTTCTTCGTTAGCTCCAAAAACCTCTTCCGGATCGGAATCCGAATATACAATGGAAAACTCGGGTGTGCCTTGCAAGAGTCTCCTCACGTTTCTCAAAGTCCTATTTAGCTCTGGATCAACGGGAATAAGCGGTGATTGCTTACTCTTTCGTGTCATGCAAAGTCAAACAAAGCTAAGAAAAACGTTAGCAATGACTATCGCAAGTTAAACACACATAAACAAAAATTAAGGTAAGAAAACTACTATACATATACACACATCTAGTCTCATTCAACAATAATACATTCAATGTGACTTTGCCTCCCCGGCAACGGCGCCAAAATCTGATAGGCCGTCGTCGAGCCTACCAAAGATAATAATTCCTATCTTGGTCTCACTAACAATAGTAAGGGTAAGAAAGGGTCGAACCCAAGAGAGGCGTTGAATCAACCACCGAGTACTACCGTTTAAATAAGCTAAACGAATTCTAAATTGGGTTGGTTTTTAGTAACTTCTTCTAACACAATTCAACTAAGCTAAGAGGAGGTTAACAATATTAAGAGGAATCTAGGGCTTGGGTTATACCACTCAACTTCATCACAAATCACAATTAGCATGCAACAATCAAGGTAAATTAATGGGATAAATTAGGGGAAGTCATCTAAAGCACCCAACTACTCTCTCAAGCTAGAGGGATTACTTGAATCATGAATACAACCTACTCTCGTGGTTACATAGCATAAAACAAGTGTTAAAGCATAATCACGATGACATAAACATTCCCTTGACCGGTAATCCCTATTCTCATGGCATTTCGGGTCAATCAAGCATAAGGGAGCTAACTCAAGTTCATCTCTCGATCCTTCGTTGAGAAAGCTTGGATAAATAGTTCTAGCAATGGCCATATACAAGAACTAAGCAATTAAACCACTTAAGCTCAACTAATTAACATCCCACAACAACCAAATTAGCATATGCAACAAGTAATTAGTGACTACATTGAGGGTTTTGCCCAAACCCTAGAATTTAGACTACTCACAATCCATGGGGGTTAAAGCAATTAAAGATTTCAAGCAATTCATGAACAAATTCAAACTAAGGATTAAGCTAATTAACAATCCAAAACATGCAAGAACTAGCAAATAATTAACAACAAAGTAAAGAGAAGTAGAAAAGATGAGTAAGAAATGGTTACTATGAAGCTTCAAGGTGAGCAACAATGGTGGATTTTGTCTTCTACAATGATTGAATTTGAATAATTCCAAGCTAATAATTGAGAACTAACTAATGATTTGAGAATTTAATGTTCTAAGACTACAAACTAAGAGAAAAGTTCTGAAAAACTGCCTCCCCCCTTACAAATGAGCTCTCAAGGGGTATTTATATGACCCCCAAATAAAAAGGACGGAGAAAACAAGGAAGGAGTTCGACTGCAGGTCTGCACGGACGTGCCAGATTTGGCACGGACGTGCAAGGCTAAGCACGGCCGTGCCAAGTTTGGCACGGACGTGCAGAGGGGGCAGAATTGAGGCAGAACGTACTGCTAAGAATCGAGCAGTTCCGCACGGACGTGCAGATATTGGCACGGACGTGCAGCTACATCTGCACGGACGTGCTTAATTTGGCACGTCCGTGCAGGCCTTGGCAGAATGTTCTGAGTTTCTGGAGCACTTCTGCACGGACGTGCAGAGTCTGGCACGGCCGTGCACCCTCTTCTGCACGGACGTGCCAGATTAAGCACGGCCGTGCAGGCCTTGGCAGCTTGCTGAAGCTTTCTGGAACCTCCTGCACGGACGTGCAAGGTCTGGCACGGCCGTGCAGGGTCTTCTAAACCCCTTTTTTCATCTTTTCTTCTATAATGCTCCTTTCCTTGGCTTCTTTCATCCATCTTCTTGTTTCTAACCTCGGCTTTGTATCCATGGGCTCCATTTGGTCGTTCTTTTGAACCTAGAATCTCAACAAAAACACCAACAACCCGTGAAGCATAGGATACACAAAAATTGCATAATAATAGAGTAAAAATGAACCAAAACGCAATTTATATCAAGTAAACTAGGTTCAAAACACCCTAAAATCGTATCAAATAGCAAGTTATCAAGGATGTGGAGGAGGAGGGTCGTGGTGTTGGTGGATGTGGAAGGGGGCTGCACTGGCTGCTGTTGGGGTCCTGCTGTTGCTGCCTTCAGCCAGCAGATAAAACGCTGACTGAGGCAGCGTTTTATGCTTAGGTGTAAAACACTGACTCGGTCAGCGTTTTTCTCTGTTATGGATACAAGAAAAACGCTGACTGAGTCAGCGTTTCACTGTATTTCCAATTTTTTTTTTAAATTTGTATTTCACATAATACGAAATTTTATAAAAAAAAATAATAACCAAAGGTAAAACGCTGACCGAGGCAGCGTTTTATGTCAGAAGCTCAGTTTCGTAAATAGTTTGGCCACGCGTCTAGATTGGTAAATTGTTTGCCAATTAAGCTTACTTTCGTAAAAAATCCAACTATAAGTTCATCGTATTAACAACATAACAATTTAGATCCTTTTTTTTACTCTATTTTCAACTTTTTTTTAATGGAAAAATAAGTTTAAGACATATAAGTTCATATTAAAATTCGATTATAAGAATTACCTAAATTTAATTTACAACTAAAATTTGTTTTAATAAGATCTAGTCAATTTAATTAAGTTCAAATAAGATCAATAAGACTATACTCCCTCCGTCCCATAATACTTGACACAATTACCATTTTCGTCCGCCCCAAAATACTTGACACGTTAGTAAATATGGAATTGGACCACTAATAAAAAAAAAAAATCTTATACTCACTTTCGGACCAAAACCTAATTAAATCCTACATTTTCTCTCTCCTCACTACCCCCACCGCCCCAACATTTTGTTTTCTTACAATATAAATATACAAAAAAGAATTCTTTGTATAATAAACAAATGTTTTAAATGGACCCACTTGTAGTTTTCTTAAACTACCTATCCACCCAACGTCCCAAGTATTATGGCCTTTATGGGATGGAGGGAGTATAAATTTCAATAAGTAAATATCATGTGATTAGAAAGAACTTTGATAAGTCATTTTATAAACCATTTCTCCAACTTTGCTTTAATCATCATTCATAATATTCAAGGAAAAAAAAAATTAACATTTACATGATATTTTGTGATAAGGAATTGCCGAATTGGAGTGCATACTCAATATCCAAGCTTTGCGTTGTAATAACCCATTCCTTGTCGCTTTGTTATCCCTACGAATTAGGCCCTTATCCAGGTTACTTAATTAAAAGTTGAAAGTGAAAGTCTTCGAACTAGGCCCATATTCAAGTGGAGGCCCAGATAATTTTGAATTTGTGATGATTGGGCAAAAGTGCAAAACTTAAAATATTATTCAACTAATCCAAGTACATTATCCTGATAAAATTGCTAAATTGCAACACTAATAAATGACACCTTATTCTTGTCAAAAGAAAAAAAAAATAAAAAAAAAATAAGACCCCTTATTTTAGGCAAGAGAAAAAAGGCTATCAGTGGATTGCTAACTCATGTGATTATCAAAAAAGTAAGACTAAGACTAAGACTATGAGAGATTATCTTAAGAAAGTTAAAAGTTTATAGAGAATACAAGAGAAAGTGATTAAGTACTAATAAGGTAATTGGTTTAAGTTGTTAAAAGTTACCTAAATAAAGTATTGTAGTTTTCTAAAACATGTCAAAGTATCAAGTCTTGAGTTTTTTAAACATTCCAAAATAGCACTTCTACATTTACTTTATGACTAATATTACTTTAGTAACATAGTTATGTAGGCGCTTGTGAAATTAGTTTGTTGGCGTCGGCTGTGTTGCATCATACCAAGTCAACTATCAAGATATGTGTTTGACTTAATTTAAATTTCCCTTAAATGTATCAGGCTACATAATAGTGGACATGATCACATTATCAGCGAGTGTAATTTTTAGGAATTTTCTATACAAAGAGTGTCAAAAAGGGCGAATGGTAATAAGCGGTTTGATCCCATGTCTTAGATACGAAGTACAAAGTCCAAGATATCACCCAAAATATGTTAACCAACCAATGCGAATGGTATCCACATTAGCAAGTATAATAGCTCATTTGTTAGTAATCAACATAAGTATTAGCATAATAACATCTCAACTGGTATTAAATATATCTCAGATATCAATGAAGATGCGAACATAAAAGAGAAATCAACTTGATAGACTAAAAAAAATGGAGGAACTAAGGAGAAGAAAAGCAAAGACATTATTTTCTATGAAGTTTTTTTCCATTCATTTCTTTTACAGAGCTTTCCTCTCATGCACTCACTCGTGAGAAATATGAAATCTACATATAATAACACGCTATCATTGTGGTGGTACATAAGATCAATCAAAATTACTAATCATATAAAATAATTTAATCTAGGAAAAATTGCCCGGAATAATCCGACCTTTTGCCCGTCCGCTGAAAATAATCCCACCTTTGGATTATTTTTTAATAATCCCACCTTTATACCCATTCCACTATAAATGGTCCCATTTTACTTGGAACCGATTGAGCAGGTATTTTTTTTTTTTTAAAGTAGAATTTACACGTGTTGCTCCTTGATTAGTAAAAAAAATAAAAATAAAAAAGTAGTAAAAAAACCACCACCGCCACCTAAGCCACCCCAATTCAGCCACCACCACCCAACCTAAACCCTAGAACCACTATCCCACCCACACTTGAAACCACCAAGCTGACCGGAATCCCACCGAGCCAAGCCAACCTAAACCCAATTACCCATTAACCCAAGTACCCAACCCCTTAACCACATTAACCATTTAACACAACCCCTCCTCTGTGGACGACGACGACGACGCGGCTGGAAACGGTGGACGGGGGAGACGCGACGCGACCAGAATCTGGGGATGGGGGAAGTCGACGCGTCGGAGCTGGGTTTAAGGGAGTTGGTGGGTTTTTCGCGGACGGAGCCTGGGTTTAAGGGTTGGGTTTTCACGGGGGTAAGAGTGAGGGAGAGGATTGGTGGTTCATGGGAGGGGAGGGTAAGCCGGAGCCGCGTGAATGGGGTTGGCCGGTTGGGGGTTGGCTTGGTTTCGTGAGGATTCGAGGGTGGTTCATGTGGAGGTTCGTGAGGGAGGGAGGGGTTCGAGGGTGGTTCAGGGAAGGGGGTTCGATTGTGGTTCAAGGGAGGGGTGGCAGGGGAGGGCGGCGCGCCGGGATTGGTGGCAGGGGAGGCCAGCGCGCCAGAATGGTGGCAGGGGAGGTGGTTTGGGTGGTGGGTGGTTTCTAAATTAATTAATTGTTTTTTTATTTTTTTTAATTTTATTTTTTTGACTAATTGGGTGCCGACACGTGGCTAGTAACTTGCTATAACAAGTTAACTAACCGGTTGGGACCAATAAAAAAGATCGGGGGGTAAAGGTGGGATTATTAAAAAATAATCCAAAGGTGGGGTTATTTTCAGCGGACGGGCAAAAGATCGGATTATTGCGGGCAATTTTTCCTTTAATCTATACCAACTACACTAATCCCCACATCTTGAAGTTAGCATTAGTTGTGTACTTTACTACTTCGGATAAATGAAGGAAGGTGCACAAAACAATTAGACCACGTTTCAAAAGTTCCCAAATTTGTTAAGTTAATCTCATATCAGTATATCACCCCCTTATAATAAAATAATAAAAATAGAAATGAAAAAATAAAATAAAAATAAAAATAAAAATAAAAAAATAAAAAAAATTGAATGAAAAGAAAAGAAAAACACCAAAAAGAAAAGCACTTACAGTCTGCTAAAATCAAAATCCTTCCCTGTCTTAAATCGGTGACAGGCAGTCGTCGCCGACGCCTATTTTTGGCTCGCCAGAATAATCAAACACTTCCTTTTTCTCTCTCCTCTCCCCCCAAAAAAAAAAAAAAATCCCCAATTTCAAAACCCTAATTTCACCTGCAAATCTCTTCACTCCTTTGCCATAATCTCTCTCCACTTTGATTGCAATCTAATCGCAACTGAAATTGCCTACCAACTCCTTTAATACATTCGTCTTTTCGATCCAGATTTCGCAGTATTATACTTAATTTTAGTGACTGTTGAATTTATGATTGGTTATCGGTGGTTGTGATTCTCTCGAATCGATGATTTGATCGGCGAATTTTCGAGGAATTGGGGTTTTGGTTTTGTGCAGGGTGGTCGAAATGGCGGCACAAAACCCAGGGGATCTGTTTGATACGTATTTTAGGAGAGCTGATTTGGATCAAGATGGTAGAATTAGTGGCGCTGAAGCCGTCGCTTTCTTCCAGGGTTCGAATTTGCCGAAGCAAGTTCTCGCGCAGGTTTTTTTTCTTTTCTCTTTCTATTGAATTTTCTCTCTCCTGGTTATTTGGTGGTTTGTTTAGCGACTTTGAATTTGATGTTTTGTGAATTCAGATGCAATTGATCTAAATTTATGATTGCCGAAAAGTTGTTTGGCATTTTGTTGGTTAATTATGACCATTTTCAGGTTGAATTTGTTATTTGATTTATAAGGGTTGTCGTTAGATCGTCAGAACTGGTAGAGTAGTGAGATGGGATTATTGGCTAGAATGTTTGATGGTGTTTTTAAAAGCTCACTGAATCGACATGGTTGTGAATCTTGTGATTGATTTTAATAGAGGAAATTTATTAAGTATCGTGATATTGTTGTGTGTGTGTGTGGGGTGGGGGGAGGGAGAGGGGTAGAATATAGCTTTATATTCAACTAGTACGATTGGAGTGGTCAATAGGATGCCAAAGCTGCAGCATCTCTGCACTTTCGATGGATACCTATCATAGCGTTAAATGGCCATTCTCATCAATTTGTTGATTTGTCCCGATAGGGGGCTGTATACCAATTGCTGCCTCGGTTGTGGCAATGAAGTTTAGCTGGCTCTTCTCGTCATTTTGTGGACTCATGACATTCACCCTAACAGAGGCAGATAACTCATCACTACCTTGGTTCTGCTACTGATGGTTATAAGAATAGGGCAACTAATGTGCTATTTCCCCCCATCTTCTTAGTGCTTGTTTGTTATAAATATGGGGTAACTATGGAGTGGAAGAATGTGTAAGTTATGTGGTTGGCAAAAATGTGGTAAGTAGCTCACCAAGGCCACCCTAGGCAATCGGAATTTTTCATGGAAAGTTTTGCTTCTTATGATTAACCAAACAACAACTTACTATTACCGGCTTATGAAACTACATGAGAAAATCAAAACCTGATGATACATTAGTAACATTACTAATCATGTTCAACAAAATAATTACTTTAAAGTCTTACATTCCTTGATAGCAAATTGCATGGTTGGGATTTTTTGTTCTTCACTGGGTATTTCAGACTTTCAGTCATTGAGCTTGCAAAGTTGCAACTACAATACATTTGATGCTTATCGAGACTTGATAGTGATGAATGGCAGGGATGTTTCATCCAAATTGTGATACAGTTGGGAAAAAAATTAGCCGTGTAGCCTATTAGACTTAGAACGGATCTTTGGGTCATATGGCATGGTTGATTGAACCAGGGGATGGATGCAAATGAACTTAGTTTTTATATGTTTAAAGTAACTAGTTGCTCGATTCAAAATTACCTTTGTTATTGTTGTTTTTTTTTTTTATTTTATTTCATTTTATTTATTTTTAATTATTTATTTTTTATTTTTATGTACTTCCTCCGTTTGTATGTAGTTGCACCATTTCTTTTTGGCACTATAATTTAGGAGTGAAAGTAGGGGGATGTGTAGGGTATTGTGAGAAAAGAAGATTACATGAATCAAGGCTAGTGGGAATTGGTCCCTATATGAAGTACGTTTAGGGAAATGGTGCAATAGAAATAGAGGAAGTATCAGTTAAAATATTGGCCTATTTGGTCAAAGTTAGAAAATTTTAAACATAGATTATCACTATTGTATTTATCAAAACATTTGTTAGATTCCTCTCAATGTGTTACTTTTTTTTTTTTTTTTTTTTTTTAATAAATATCAGCTCTCATTCTCCATAATTTTTACTAATACATAAACAAATATATTAATGTTCAATGGTAAGGCCAATGATGGCTAAGTGTAACTCTTAAAAACAAAGGAGAGAATACGTCTTTCAAAGATGGGTGATGTTACTCTGGTCTTTGGATACCTCTAAGTGCTGACTTAGAACATGCACATTTTGGAATGTCTTCTTGTTTAACTGTATTATGCTGACTGTATTTCCTTTTTTTTTTTTTTTTTTTTTAATAAAAATTATTATAGATATGGACGTTTGCTGACCATAACCGAACAGGGTTCCTTGGTAGAGCCGAATTCTATAATGCTCTTAAACTTGTGACCGTTGCACAAAGCAAGCGTGAATTAACTCCCGAGCTTGTCAAGGCAGCTTTATATGGTCCAGCTTCAGCTAAAATACCAGCACCACAGATAAGTTTGCCTACTACACCTGGTCCTCAGTCAAGTACTGCTGGATCAACCCCTTCCGCACCTCAGACAAGCAATGTTGCTCCTATCTCTTACCATAACCCTGGACCTAGAGGAGTACCAGTATCACCTAATGTTAACATGAATCAGCAATATAACCAACCAGCAGTAAGTGGGACTGTGAGACCTCAAAATACAGTTTCTGGTGTGGCTACACAACCTGTGCACGGGGTTGGATTTCAAGGATTTCCTGGAGGAGCTCCTCAACCTGGATCAAATCTGCCTAATTCTAGACCTTCAAATGACGTAGGGGTTGTTAACACGGGAAGGTCACCAACAACAGTATACTCAGAGAGAAGTAGCAGTCTTTTGACGAACCAGTCTGGGGTGACATCAACAGAAGGACCAGCAGCTTCTTTACCACCTAAGCCATCTGTAACAGCAGGAAACTCTGCCACGCAGCCTAAACCATCACAAAATGGGTTCAGTCAAGGCTCTTTCTTCGGAGGTGAAGCATTGTCTGCCGCTCCGTCTCTGCCCAAAAGAGAGGGTTCTGTTCTTACGTCATCTGCTGGAAGTGTACAAGTCCCTACACCCTCGGTTCCAGTCTCAGCTGGCAACCAGTCTTTCTCAAAGCAGGGTTCTGTTACTTCTGTACCGAATTCACTTGCTGCACACTCTTTCGGTGGACAACATCAAAAGCTGCAATCACACGTGAAACAGAATCAACATATTCCAGTCCAAAATATTGCTCCACGTGGCCCTCCTGCATCCCCACCTAATAATTCTGCAGGACATCAGCCCCAGCTGCACTGGCCAAGACCAACTCAGACTGATCTACAGAAATACACCAAAGTATTTATGGAGGTTGATACTGATAAAGATGGGAAAATTACTGGTGAACAAGCGCGCAATCTATTTTTAAGTTGGAAGTTACCACGAGGTAGGTGGTTAGATTTTGTCATCTACTTTTATGCTTTATAATTTTTAGTATCTTATGTAGAAGTATGCTTGATTTCTTATTGATGTATAAGGTTTCATCTAACTTTTTTTGTTAACACTTTAATTGTGTTTCTCCTCTGTTTTTGTTTCATATCTTTAATTTTGAAGCAAGTCCTGTGGCTCTTGTGCATATTTTTTTGGCTGTGTGCTGAGTAACTTTCCCCCCTCCAACTGTAGTTTTTGTTTGAATTTTCATATTTTAAATTGTAGTTCTTGTTTGAGCGTTTAACCCCTCCCCTCCTCCCTCTTAAAATCCTGGCACTTTGGAGTATTGATTACGTGAAAGGAAAGTGGTGTGGGTGGTTATCTGAAGTCTCTGCAAAAATGTGGTGGGTAGATTGCTGAAGTCTCTCTGTAGATTCTGTTCCATTAGAAATTTATATAGACTAGAGCTGTAATGTGATTGAAATTTAAGAAGTCACCAACTTATAATATTGTGTTGTGTGCACTGTGTTTTTGTTTGGGGAGCTTAAATTTCAGTTTTTTCCCCTATAATTCTGTGCAGTGTAAAATTTATTTGTAGTACCCTCTAAAATATTTAGTGCTTGTGTGGTTGACATTGAAATTCATGGAATGTAAAATTTCTTATGAAGTGGGAAAAGTTGGAGTTGTTTGGTTGGAAAAGTCATGGGAAGCCAGTTTTCCTAAGAATTTCTGCTTCCCACAAAATGGAGGGAGCTACTTACCTAGGGCCCCTATGTAACTGAAACCTCTCATGGGAAGTAAAACTTCATATGCTCAGCCAAACAACAATTAGTCATTCCTAGGAATAAAATTGCGTGGGAAAATCATCTTCCTTGGCCTTATTATTTCCCATGTTCAACCAAACAAGCACTTTTCCATGGAGCTGAGAGTTATTGTAGTTCAGTCATGGGTTCTCAATTTTTTGTGTCATTCTGCTGTTCTGGCTGGATCAACTATCTCTTGCTGGAGTGTTTGGCTCTGTAAACTTTATACATTTTTGTATTGTAAGAAGATTGCATTCATAAGCATGTTCTTCTATTATGGATCAAAACAATTCTTTAGTGATCTTCAATGAGAATTTTGTTTTTTTACTGTAGAGAATTTAACAATGGAGGAATTGGTCTCTTGTATGGTGTATAGTATATATCTGTAGGGTATTGGGGGCATTACATTTTATGGGTTCTTTGGCCTCCTCTTTGTATAGGGTTTACAGGCCCTTTACTTTTTAAATGTATTCTTTTTTAATGAAATCGAAAAAAATGTATGGAATTTGGTCTCTTCAAATATTTGGATTGTTTCATGTATGACATGTCAGATTTCTATTTTTGTTTTGGTAGGAGCAGGTTTCCTTATTTGATGTGCCACTTATTCAGTATTGTTACATGTTCCAGAGGTCTTAAAGCAGGTGTGGGACTTGTCTGATCAGGATAATGATAGCAATCTTTCTCTCAGGGAATTCTGCATTGCACTTTATCTGATGGAAAGATACAGGGAAGGACGTCCTCTTCCAGCAGTTCTTCCAAGTAGTGTTGTGCTTGATTTCCCCGCAACTACTCAACCACCTGCTGGATATGGTAATGCAGGATGGGGATATTCTGCTGGTAAGCTGAGATGTTGCATTTTTCTGCTCCTTAACTTCATTCTGACTTCTATGCTTGATGAACTTTGGACTGACTGATAAAAAAAAAACAGCAAATAATGTTTAATGGGATATTTCCTTACGGAGCTGCCTCTTTTTACTTTGCACACTTTCTTTGTCTTTTAGGTTTCCAGCAACCACAGGCACCTGGAACTGCTCCAAGACCAAATGCACGTCCGACAGGGAAGCCACCATTGCCTGTTACGGCTCATATGTCATCTGATGATAGAATGCCACCTAAGCCACCAAAAGCCAAAGTGCCAACGTTAGAAAAGCACCTAGTAGAACAGCTAAGTGAAGTGGAGCAGAAATCACTCAATTTGAAATTCTTGGAGGCATCAGAGGCTAATAAAAAGGTATGTGTTGTGTACTTGCTCTTATATACTTCCAGTTCAGGTGCTTCTATGTTGCAATGATGCTGTGAAGTTTTGAGTGTCAGTTACTCATTTACACACACACACACACACACAGAGATTCCATATAATAAAAATAAGATTGGTCATGCTGACTGGATTTGACCTCTTGGTAAAGTTGAGACAATCGAAAGGGGATGAAAGGAGCAACTTATAATGGGTTATTGTGGCAAGTGCTGTACTAGAAACTCATAATTATGAGGAATATCTCTTCTATGAACAATCTTTATATGCTTCCTTTTTCTCTTTTCTTTTTTCTTTATTCTTTATCCAGGGTACTGTGGGTTGTGTGAGAATTGCTAGGGTCAGAAAGGTTCCTTAATCTTAGACTTTTAAATGTCTGTTAATACCAAATTAGCTTTCATCAGTTCTTCTTTCATTGAGGAACAAGATTTTTTTTTTTACCAAAGGCTTATTCAATTTGTTATCCAATTTCTGTTTCTGCATTTTTATTCTTAGGCTGTGCTTGTTTAAGGGGAAATTGTATTTTAAGAAAATTGATATTTGATTTTCCTATGTTTGGTTTGTAGTTGATGGAAATTATTTGTCTTAATGATAGAAATAATTTTTCTTTTGTAATGAAGGAATGCCCACATATTTCTTCCTATATGTTTACAATCTCTCTCTCTCTCTCTCTCTCTCTCTCTCTCTGTCTGTCTCTCACTTCCGTTTTTCTTTCAGTAGCTCCGGTATCAAGGAACCCTTAAAAGGAATTGATATTAGAATTTTGATGGAGATGAAATTCTGTTGAAAATGTTTTCTTTTGGTTTGAACTGTCTTTTGATTTTTGCCACCTGAGCTAACAGTCTTTGTGATTGTTTCCTCTCGAGCTAATTTGTATTATGATTGTCCTCCCGTGATTTATCATATCAGTCTCCTCCTCCTTCTCAATTGCTAGCAGCTCCTTGATGAGAGAATTATTTCTTCTTTTTTTTCTTCATTATATAGTGCGGGCTTTGTGGTGTCTGAGAAATAGAAATTGTCTTTGCTTTTGTGTTGTCTTTTGTTTTACTGAGAATGTTGTTTGGTTGATGCCAGGTTGAAGAACTGGAGAAGGAAATAAAAGAAGCAAGAGAGAAAACGGAGTTCTACCGAGTTAAAATGCAGGAGCTTGTGAGTACTTTTAAGCTTTCTTAATCTAGTAACGTTGTGTCACAATTGTTTCATTATGGCACAATTATGAGAATTTCTATGGAGTGGCATAGTTTTCCATCTGTGTGTTCTTTTGCATGTATGCACATTGTGCAAGGGTGTATAATTGCTATAGTGAGGCTCTCGAATGATTTAAAATGGCAACAAATTTGCATGTTTAGTAGATAACAATTACTACCCAATCTTTTGTTAAGAACCAATGTCTTTTTTCTATTACATCCGATCGTGAAAGCTGTTAATATATACGGAGTACTATATGCACACAAATTTATGCATTTGAAGAGAGAGTGTTGTGTGTGAGTGGGTGTAAGAAAATTTTGGATAATTAATAGTGTAAGAATAATCTGGATAGAGTAAGAGAGAGTAAGTGGAAAGGTAATAATATTGTAGGGTATGAGGGGTTTGGAAAAGGAATCTGCCAAAAATGGAATAAAGTGAAAGTGTTGGGAACTTTTTGGAATGGATGAAAACTTAGAGTACCCACAGCCATTAACTATTTGGGTGGTTATTAAGAGAGAGAAAATGAAAATATTAATAAAATATTGAGGAGAGAGAAATTATTGGGGTATCAATTGAATAACCAGGTTATTCAAATAACCGGTTATGTATATGGTCATGCAATTTTTTTTTTGCTTTTTGGTTGACATGGATGGCTAAGATTTTGACACGTAATACAAATATCAATGGTTGAGATTTGCTCTGAATTTATAACCGTTGTAATTTTTGTAACGGCCATAATTTTTAAAATACAATTCTGAAAAAAAAAAAAAATACACCAACGGCTCTATTTTATTTTTCTCTATAAAATGAGCCCAATATTGAAGTATTTTGAAACAACTTTTTTTTAAGTGAAAATTACTCTTCTTATTGGCAAATTGTGTTAAGATGAACATTCCAAAATCTAACAGAAAACTTGATAACTTTTGTCATTTGATAGAATATATATGTATGATTTTTATTATTGTGGAATGTAGTAGGGTTACAATTATTGTTTGTGTCTTAATTAACGACTAATTACGTACTAATTAATATCAAAATTGCATTATTTTTAAATTTTTGAGATTTTATCTAATTAATGTATGCTAATAAATAATTATTAATTTTGAATGATTATTACCAAATGCATTATTTAATAATAATAGAATTTAAGTAATAAATTGTGTGGTGGGGTTGGGTAAAAGTAGGAGAGAGAAAATGTATAACCAAAATATTATGGTTAACTATTGGCATACATTGGTTATTAAATGGTTATAAGAGTGGTTATAAGTGAGGTGGAAGATGGATAAAATAATAAAATAATCAATAACCAAGATGGGGTTGGGCAACCATTGTGTATGCTCTTATATTGTTCAGAACTTTCTGAGGTAGTATACAAATAACAGTGAATAGCTCAAAGAGAATATTAAGTTGAGGAAGTTCACTTGTCATACTTCCATTTTATTGCAGTGTGTCGTGTGTGTGGTTATGATGAGAGAGAAAAAAATGATGGTAAATTTATGAATTACAAATTTAGTTTTGTTACTTTTCTTATCATGTCATTTCCTATTGGTTACAAGAACGATCATTCCCTTTCTTTAACAGATTTTTTGGCGGTGTATAGCTTGCTTTGTTTTTGGATGTTATTATTGATAGTTCCTCACTACTTCAATGTTACCTTGGAATATTGATAACAATTTTTTTTTGTAAGGTTCTGTACAAGAGTAGATGTGACAGTCGCTTTAATGAAGTTTCAGAGAGGGCTGCTGCAGATAAGCGTGAGGTGTGAGCTTAATTTTTTTTCCTCAGATTTACCTTATCAGATAACAAAAGTGGTCACATTTTCACAAGTGTGACTTTTCAGGTTGAGTCTCTGGCTAAGAAGTATGAAGAGAAGTACAGACAAAATGGTGATGTGGCATCTAGATTGACAATTGAAGAAGCAACATTCCGTGACATACAGGTTTTTGTTGTGATTTATATTAGTTCATCAGGGTTGTAGCTGGTAAGAAGCATTTCCTTTAGCTGTTATAGTATAATTTTACTCTGATTATTTGCAGGAGAAGAAAATGGAGATGTATCAGGCAATTGTGAAGATGGAGCAGGATGGCACTGATGAGAACTTTCAGGTATTTTGTACTAGCTATGAAAGAAAACACAAGATGAACACGAACATTTCCCTTGCTTTTTGCTTTTCTGAGTCTGGAGTATCTTGTCAGGTTCGTGCTGATCACATCCAGTCTAGTTTGGAGGAATTAATAAGATCTCTCTGTGAACGTTGCAAGAAATATGGATTGCGTGCTAAACCTACCACGCTAGTTGAGCTTCCCTTTGGTAATTTCGTACACTTTTCTTTGATCCTCATTTCTTTTGAGTTCAAATCACTGATGAGGCAGGGGAAGGCTTCCCCACGTATATTGTATAATAGTACTTTGACATCTTTGGCTATCTCTTCTTGTTTATTTATTTTTGGTCTAGGCATCATAGTGTACTTGTTTTATTCCAAAAAATTTGTCCTGTTTCTAAGGGCTAGACATTTTACTTGATATTAAAACAAGGCCTAGCTTTAGACTGTAAACTGTAATATATATAGTTAAAGCTGGGCCTCATTAGGTACTGACATGTAAAGCCGGACAACCTTTCAAATTGCAATGAGTTCCAAGGCTTACAAGATTGTTAACTCTGGCTAAATCTTCATATCATCTGAAATGTCAGCTCAATTTGGATTGATTTTGTTCTGAAGCAGTTTTTTGTTTTTATTTTCTCAGGGTGGCAACCTGGCATTCAGGAGAGTGCTGCTGATTGGGATGAAGACTGGGATAAATTTGAAGATGAAGGTTAGTTGAATCTATATTGTTATTAGATGGAGAATCAAACTATTTCATTATTTTATGTCAGTGATCATTTTTTTATTGTTTGCAAGTCTTATTCTTCATGCCTTGCAGTTCTGTGGATTTTTCCACCTTTGTTTTCCTTGTCTGAATTTTTTAGAATTCTAGCCCATATCAGCCGCCTTCTGACCATATTAGCATTTCTCCTGAATTTATTATTATTGTGAAATAAACTTGGAAGGCCTATTTGATCTTGTCTGAACTTATTACCTAAAACTTGTTTTTAGGGTAATAATATGCTCAGTATTTGTGGAGATTTTTATATAATTACTTATTTACTTTTAATTTTAATTTTATATTTTAATTTTTGGTGATGGGCAGTTCTGACCTTAATGATCTCATGTCAACCATGTTATTTGCTGTTAGAAACTTTATCCAGCCATATAATCATTTTACTGTTTTTTCCCCCTTCATGTTCATTTTTTATTTTTTATTTTATAATCTGCTAACAGTTTCAACAGCTGAAAGTGAATAGGATTGTGCAAGCCTTGATATTTTGTTCATTAAATTTTCACTCAAGTGTTGTACTGTTATCTCTGTGTCTTGTTTGCATTAGAGAATGTGGGTATGTTTGGTTTTCTCATGTTTGTTTGTGCATTTGGTTTTCTGCTTCAGGTTACACTTTTGTGAAGGATCTGACTCTTGACGTGAATAACATCATTGCACCTCCGAAAACAAAAATTAAAGCTGCAAAGAAAGAAAAGAATATGATTTTTGAAGGTGATGCAGCTGCTCATACCTCAGACTCTGAAACCAAACCTGTCAAGTCCGCTGCAGAGGATGAACAGGTGGCAGAAAATGGTGTCGTAGGTACCCCTAAAGCAGTTGAAACGGTAAAGAATACAGTTTCTAGTCCTTCTGCTAGAAGTTCGCATGGAAGTCCACGTGATGGATCTAAGGACAATCATTTCCAAAAGCTTGAAAGTTCTGTTGCTTCACCTCGTGCCAAGGGATCTCAGAGGTATGTATTGATTTTATGGATGGCGTCATGTTTGTTGGATAGTATCTATTTTTTTTGTTAACTTTTTATTGTAGCTGAAAGTACCTTAAACAGGCACTGCAATGCTAATAACCCCACAAGCTTTGGCCCAATAAAATGTGACCTTCTTTGACCCTACCCATTATTGACCCACACCAATCATGACTACAAGCCCAATAACCAGGTCTACTCTCCATAGTAGCAGAAAACAAGACATGAAATTCTTTCTGTCAGATTCTACATTGTTTCTTATAGATAATTCTGCTTAAGTAAGCTTATTTTTTTTTGTATTTTCCTTCCCTGCAAATATATCTCCTAATATTTCACTTTTCATTGTTCCTATGGTCTTGAACAAAGTCAGGCATTTTTTTATGCTGGTAATATGTTTGGAATGGTTGCTTATAATCAGGATAGATCAATCCAATTTGACTCATCAATCGCACTTCATTGTGGGATGACAAATACCATTGTCTTGTTAACTATATACAGTATTGTTGTTATTCCTGGGCCTATACTGATGATTGTTGCTGTTTATCTGATGCAGTGACGTTGGGATTGCTGATGCTTCAATATCCGGGGAGAAGAGTTTCGATGAGCCGTCTCAGGGCACCTTTGATACTAATGATGATGCCGACTCAATCTGGGGTTTCTCAAAGGTAAATAAAACTATTATCTTGTAGCACTTGTAACAACTTCAACATTGTACTTAGAAAACCATGTACAACTAGGTTTTCTAGGCAAAGCTTCGTCAAATTGACATCAATGAAAGTTTAATAGTTTATTGCTTCTGTTTATTAAATTCTAAGGTCTGGAAAATAGAGAACTCATCTTTAGTTCACTTTGTTTTTGGACTGTTGCATTATCAATTGAGTAGCAGTTTTTCAGTCTCTGCTTGCTGTAGTAAAAAATTCGGGATAAACACCTCCCCCTCTCCCTGGTTGATGTTAAAAGAAACACTGTGCTCCACGAACCCCTCTATTCCTGTTATATTTGAACCAAGTTAACCTTAAATTTGTTGCTGACTTGTTTTTTAGGAGATGAAACTCGACAAGCATAATGATGATTTGTTTGGACACGGGCAATGGACTCTGCCTCCTATCAGGACTAGTTCCTCACAGGCTGATGACTTTTTGCCCAAAAAAGGCATATTTGCAGACTCTGTACCAGGCACACCAGCAGATGTCTTTGTGCCGAAAAAGAGCATTTTTGCAGATTCTGTTCCTGGTACACCAGCAGATGGCTTTTTGCCTAAACAGAGCATTTTTGCCGATTCTGTTCCAAGCACACCACTCTATGAATCAAGCTATTCTCCACAGAAATTTGGCGAAGGACTAGAGCGCGGTTTAAACTTTTCAAGATTTGATTCCTTCAGGTCATCAGATAGTGGCTTTCAGCCTCAAGAAAAGCTATCTCGATTTGATTCCATGCGCAGTACTGGAGATTTTGAGTCACATGATGATAGGTCATTTCAGCAAAGGGATTCTTTTTCACGGTTTGATTCTATGCGAAGTACTAATGATTTTGATTATGGGGATCGATTTTCATCATTTGATGATTCAGACGCTTTTGGCTCTGGGCCTTTTAAGTCTTCATTTGGAAGTGAGACTCCTAGGGGGGACTCTGATGCTTTCGGATCTAGTGCATTTAGGTCTTCTCTGGGAAATGAAACTCCAAGGTCAGAGATAGATGCATTTGGTTCTGTGGGGCCTTTCAGGTCATCTATGGCCAGTGAAACTCCTAGGGCTGATTCAGATCCTTTTGGGGCACCTTTTCGGTCATCACTGGGTGTTGAAACACCGAGAGCAGATGCTGATCCATTTGGTTCTGTTGGGCCTTTCAAGTCGTCTTGGGGCAGTGAAACTCCAAGAGCAGATACTGACCCTTTTGGTGGTCCTTTCAAGTCATCACTGGGCAGTGAAACACCCAGGGGAGAATCGGACTATTTTGGATACTCTGGTTCTTTTAAATCTCCTTTTGGCAGTGAGACGCCTAGGGGTGAGTTTGATTCTTACGGGTTTGGTGGGCCATTTGGTTCATCATTTGGCAATGAAACACCTAGGGGTGACATGGATGCATTCGGTTCTTCTGGGCCATTTAAGTCGACTGTGGGTAGTGAAACCCCAAAAGATCGAACAGATAGTTGGAGTGCGTTTTAGAGTATAGTGAGTTTATATTCTATATCCTTTGTCCAGTGCTTTGATGCTAGAGCAATTTTGCCTACAAATGTTAGAGCCCGGGAATGCTTCATCCTGGTGTTTTTACAGGCTCCCTAGCGTGCTGCAGGTTTGCCACCTGCTACCAACCAGCCGAAAATCCCTGCTACGATCTTTAAAGCGGCTTACTCCTGGCTTATCAGCTTCATTATTTTTAACCTTGGTAAACATTCCTCTATTATATATTTTCTTGGGGCTTTGTTGGGTTTGCGAAATTTTTGCTATTGCCATTTTCCTGCTGATGAGAACCTTTGGGATTCTTGTTTTTTTTTTCCTCCTTAGCCAATATTGTGGCTTGTAATGAAAATATAGTGGGCTGGCTTTGTAGTATCAGCACGAGTGTATGTTATTCTTTACAATTACCTGGTTACACGACTGTTGTGTTACTCTAGTGTAGCTGTGATTTTTTGCATTTTATCTTAAATTAAATGTCATTGAATATTGTATCTCAACAAAATTGAATGTTTTTGCAAGTAGCGTGTAGAGTTGAATCCTAATTTTTGACTCGGTCTGTTTGAATATGGGAGGGACTGTTTAGATTGATCTGAAGAAATTTTCTGATGTAATTTTTGCAGTTGTTTGCTTAATACTCACCGGCTGTAATAAAAGGCAGATCGACTGTGATTCTAGAGACATGTTTTCAAAGGTCACTGGCCGCAACGAATAAAAATACACAGTACTCTGTATGACTAACACGAGCATGAAGCAAATTTCTTTTACGGAGTAAATTTTATTTTATTTTTTTTCCTTTTCAAATCCTTCAATTTCTGATTTATTCTATCATTTAAATATCATGATGCTCTATTGTAACTATCCTTATGATAAAAGGAACATTAACTGTTACAATTTCTCCACATACCATAGAGCCAGCACAATTGGAGCTCGAACTCATGACTTTAAAGTTACAAGTTGAGTTTCCCATCAACTTCACCAAGCTTAGCTTGATTTAAATAAATTTGTACCTATTGACTTCTCCGCATTATACTCCTATTTATTTATTTATTTTTTGTCACATTTGACTTTTCATGATCCGTATATAACTTCATTTCTATACACGCAAAATTAAAAAATTGACACGAGTATTTATAAATATATAATAAGATGAATCTAACAAGACCCTTCAAGACGGGTAGAGAAAGTATTCCGTAGTCCGTAGTTTTGTCCAAATATGTGAATGAATAATGTATATGTCCTGAAAACAAATTATAAAAAAATAATAAACCACAAAAGTGTTGAAGTCTTCCTACTTGAAAATTAAGTCTACCAAGCTCCCCAGCAGTAGATCACAGTATTCATCTTCCTCCAAAGCTTGATGAAGAAGCTTTGATCATTTCATCATAACTCCCAACTTCAATCTTCCTTAACTATTCTTAAAAATGCCCAAATTTTCCTGTGATTTCAGATGGCTTCTTCTTGTTGCTGCCGTCGCATTTATCTACATCCAGGTAAAAATAAGCAATTTCAGTATTCTTTGATTATGAATTTCCTTTAATCTTCACTTCTTGAAAACCCTAATTTCATCTTTTAAGTAATTGTTTGATTACATTTTCATCGATTTTAGTGTTCGGTAGTCGTTTAATTAGTGATATTCTGTTTCTGACGAAATTTTAGTTTTTGGGATCCCTTTAATTTATTGTGTGGAGTAGTTCGGAAGAATTTAGTTTGATCGTATGTACTGATATGGAATGGAAATGATTAAGGAGAATTAGTTTAGTATGGTGGAGTTTGTTGCTTCAAGCTAAGAAGTAGAGTTTCAGGGATTTAATGGTCAGAATTATTGGTTCATGTTTCGATTTTCGGAGAAATTGCATATTAAAATTTGAAAATGTTGATAATAATGGCCCTATGATTAAAGAGTGTAGTTGGATAAATGCCGGTGTAAGTTGAGGTACACCAGTATAGCCGGCTATGATAAGGGATTAAGGTTTAATTTAAAGACGCGACTATTGTAAAATTAGTAACACTTTAATTTGGATTGAAGGAAATGGAGGGAAAGGAAGGGAAGAGAAATGGAGGGAGGGAATATCTTTCATTTGGATAACAAATTAGGGATGAAGGGAATTGAAGGGGAGAGAAATGGAGGGATTAAATTCTAAGAAAATGATCCCTTCATCAATGGAGAGATTTGGAAGGAAAACTCTCCATTCTTCCTTCCCTCCCCTTCACCTCCCTCCCCTTCTTTTCCTTCCCTCAACATTACCCAAACAAACTTACTGCTTTTGTGATGATGATCCCAAATTAGAGATACTAGGTCATTTTGTAAGCTTACTAAGTCATTGTCGTCAAGGGCTTCAAGTTCTGGTGTGAAAGTAGGTTTATGTTTGAGTTTGCTTGGTGATTTTTGTTTTTTCTGCATTCTATAATTAAACTTTGTAAGAGCATATTGTCACATTCTAAATGTTATTGCTGTTTATAAGCTACTTTGTATAATAGTTATGGAGTGTTAACATATTGCTTCTTTGGTGTTATTTCTTTTATATTAGATGCGGCTATTTGCTACGCAATCGAAGTATGCTGATCGCCTGGCTGCTGCGGTATGTGGACATTGTTTAAATTTCATGATGCTCTTGTGTTAGTGATGGAATGATTATGATTTATATATATATTTTTTTATTTTGAATTATCTTGACATGTTGACTTCGTGATACTTGTACCATTTTTTTTTTTTTTAAAGTGTTTCTTCAATTAGTTCTCGCTCTACTTCCTCTTTTATCTTGTGGTGGCATTATCTGGTAGAAACTTGGAAATTTAGCTTCTGTTTGACCATTGAATTTCCTCAAGTTTTTAAAGGCAATGCTCAGTAGAAATTGAGTATAATGTAGTGTTGGTAATAGTGATCAAAGGCTTTGTTTTTATTCTAGTGGCATAAGGAAAATTAAGTGGTATTACCATTGCTAAATTGTTGGCATTGAGGCTAGAGATATAGAGGATTCCATTAAGAATAGAGCTTGGGAATTCTGGTTTCTGTGTTGATCACACTGTCCATCTCTGAAATAGCATAGCTGATATCTTAGGGCATTAAATTACTGATTAAAAATAGGTTGCAAGTCTTACAACTTAATATTAATTATGGCAGTTAGATCAATTGATATAGAGATCTTTAAGAAGCTAGAATATTAAAAGGAATCCACTTTAGGAAGTTCTCAATTTTAGTTTTTGTCTATAATTGTACATCGTAGCATGTATGGAAATGCACCATGTCACGGCATGGTGACTCTTTAGTCATTACTATATGCCGGTGTTAAAACCCTCTTTTTTCTTTGTACATTTACGTTCGTCTTGAAATATAGTTTAAATATAGAATGAACTTACTAGGAAAGATACATTTGGATTGCATCTGTTAGGAAATAAACTAAACTTACCAAATACTAACGAGATTTATTTTGGGAAAAGACATGATGTATGTTTTAGATATGATGTATCTTTTATTTATTTCTATCTTTTATGTTTTCCTAGTTTGATGAGGATTTTAATTAAGAAAATAGATAGATTTTAGGAATATAATCAATCTAGGATTATTTAGGCTTGGGGAGCAAGTAAAAATAATCCTAATTGATGTGGGTTTCTAAGTTAACCTATATAAGGGGTTTTAGGCTTATTAGAAAATAATGATGATTCATCAACGATGATTTTATGAGGTGGAAAATCATCAAGAGGGTGAAAATAATGATGGTTTATTGAGGAGGAAAATCATCAACAGGGTTATTGTCTTATTTTGTAGGAACTTAATAAAACAATATTTTGTTTGAGGGGAGGAAATCTAAATTTCCTCATAATTGTCTATTTTATTATCGTAGTTTGCTATTTATTCTATATTGTGTTTGAGGGTGAGTTCTCAAATTGCTCCATTGCAAACATCCGTTATAACAGCATCAGTGTTCTTTAACGTTTTTACCCAAAATTTTCCCTTTGTTTTCAGGTGGAGGCCGAAAATTATTGTACAAGACAGACACGGTTATATATTGATCAAATAAGCATGCAACAAGGACAGATTGTGGCATTAAAGGGTGTGTTATTTTTACAGTGTAGTCTTCTTTAAGTTTTAGTCACCTCCTTTTGACTGCATATTGTCTATGGTATCCCATATCCTCACCATGCTTAAGTGCTACTAGCTAGGAGTCAATTGATTTTTTGTCTATTGCCATCTTTTTGTCATGAAATAAGATTCTTGTAGGGAATAAAAAAGTAAGACTAATCTGTTTCAAATTTTAATAACCTTGGAGCAGTGATATCAGACTGGATATGGTGCTAAGTATATAGAACAGTATGTTAGGAAATCCAAGGACTCTGCATTGGCAAAGTAAAAATAATAAAGAAAGAATTCGATACCGAATTTTTTTCGTATATTCCTTATCCCTTGTAACATTGTCATCATAGCCGAATTTTTGATCTGTCATTCTTGCCCATTTTCTTCAACGTATGTTAGAGCTGCATGACAGTGCTTAGTTTCCTCCAAGTCTAGAGGTCTTTGAACTATATGGGCAATAAAAGGTCATATTTTGGAATAGAGAAAGGTGAACATTTTGAGAGTAGGCTATTGACCCCCATTACGTTGGTTTTCCATATCTTACCAGTTTAATTTTTATGTTGTAGAAGGAACTGATTGCCAAATGATATTGAGTGTATATATATTTTTGATCTGTGCTCGCGCGTGTGTGTGTGTGTGCGCGCGTGCGTTTGTGTGAGTCAGCTATGATGGTTAGGGCATGCGAAATGTTGCCTGGAGGATGCATAGATAAGGAATTTGGAGGGTTGGTAATCTTGGGACAATGTGGATTATAAAAGAAGTCAAGGGTGTCGTAAGTGTACTTGGATAATGGGATTTACAAAAGGATGTGAAGAAATTGGGCTTGCAAGAGGATCAATCAATCAATCAATCAATCAAAGCCTTAATCCCATAGCCTTCATAGGGGCTCTTGAGAAGAAATTGGGCTTGCAAGAGGATGTGTGCAAAATAGAAGCAAATGGAGGATGGGTAAATGGATACATATTCTTGGTTCATCCTTCGAAAAAGGCTTTTATTTTGTTTGTTATTGTTTATGCTTTTTTATTTTTTAAAGCTATTTGTACTGCAAGGTTAATTGTAATTAAAAACTTATCTGATGGACATATTTCATTTTTTAAAATTAGCTACACTGAAGAGTCAATATTGCAGGGATATACTTACAGAAGCATATACTCTACCATAGCCTTCATAGGGGCTCTTGAGAAGTATAAGATGTGAACTTGTGAATCAATTACTTGTGCGCTGATATGAACAATTACTTTCTTTGTTGGTTGCTTCTAATTGCCAATGCTAATTTTTCTCTCTTTTTTTTAATAATGTGAAAACTATGATTTTGTATCAGATGAGAAAAGGCGCAAAGATGAAGAAACAGCCCAGCTGAGAGCTCTTGTCCGAGATCTTGAGAGTATGTACTTATTACTGATATCCATTTTCTGCTATCATGTACTGCATAGTTATTTTCTTTTCTGCATTGGGAATTTTCTTGCCAGCTTAATCTGAATTTTTTAGTTCATATATAATGAATAGTGTCTAGGTTCTAGCAATTGATTTTAGCTCTTGTGTTATGTTGCGAATAAGCTTGATGGTGTTTGAGTCCTTAAGGTTAAAGTTCATATTGTTCCCTCCTCCTATTTCGTTCTTGTAACTTTTGAAGCATGGAACATTAAAACTAAAGGATAGAATTTGATACCCATATTTTCAATCAATATGTTTTCTGGATGATTTATAATTTCTGATGCCTCATGTCCGAGAAAATGTCTAATGACTTTGCAGGAAAAGGTCTTCAACGATTGAATGGGAAACTAGAGGTTGAAATCAAATGGAGCAATCAGTTAATTTCCATTTTCAGATGCATTCATTGAGTACTTGATCAAGTTTCTCTTCTTGTCTGCTGAATCCATTAGGTGCCCGTGGCAGCGGTTGTGGTGATGGCCTGCAATCGTGCTGATTACTTGGAAAGAACTGTCAATTCT